CACTGGGTGTTTTCACTCACTTTATTTTGCCAATTGGTTGGGTGAAATATGATATTATATTGTTGTTTCAAATTATATTTCCATGACTGCTAAAGAGGCTGAGCATTTTTTCATGAGCTTTACTGTTTGTTTAAAGTTACGTTTCTGTAAATTTCCTGCTCATATGGTTTACCTATTTCTATCCCTATTAAATTATTTGTCCTTTTCTTAAAAAAATCGAAATGTAGGTGCTCTCTGCATATTAAGGATATTAACCTTGGTCTGTCATTCAAATACATTACAAATATTTTAACTTTGACTTTGCTTATATTGGTTTTAGCCACATCAAACTTATTATTTTTCATATAATTGGCTATGTCTATATTTCTATGTGTGGTTTCTGTATTTCTGACTTGCTTTAAAAAATTTACCCTTATCACTAAGTTTATTTAAAAATTATGGAAAAGCCTATGAATTGGGACCCAGGGTAAATGAAGAAATGTTATAAGTTAGTGGGGTTGCTATTTATTTTAGATTGATTAATAGAAATATCAATGCAATAATTATTTGGGAAGAGACCGTAATCATGAGATAAATGGAAGAGCCCAGTAGAAATTCAAACTAACTGGGATGGGGCGAAGGAAATAAAGACACTGTGCAAGTCAGTAAACATAGTACATGGGGTAAAAAGATGAACTATAAAAAAAAATTGGTACATATACAATGGAAGGAATAAAACTGAGTCTTTTGATTGTCACAGTAAGTGTAGGCAGGCTGAATTTCAATATCAAAAGGCAAAGACTGTCAGATTTTGTTAGAAAATAAAATCTATTTATAAATTACTTATAAAAACACACATAAAGCAAAGGAATAAAAATATATTAAAAATGAAGAGATAAGAAAAGATACACTGGAGAAATTCAAACAGAAAGAAGGAGACGTGGTAATATTAGTATCAAATAAAGCAGAATTGAAAGTCCCAAACCTGTTTCCAGGGCCTTATAAAAGCTATCCATATAACAAAAACATTTGCATCCCCTAATATTTTGAAATTTTAAAATGCTATCAAAAAACAAAACATTGGGGGAAGGGGGGAAATGGGCATTTATTGACCTTAAAATCTGTGCCCCCATAATATGCTGAAATAAAAAAAAAAAACACAAAAAACAAAACAAAAATGGTGTTCGGTTACCAAGGAAGCCAGTATTGGAGGAATTAAGATTCTGGAGTGAAGGGAAGAGCATTCGCCAGTTGGTCAGAGGAACAGACTGAGAGGCTGGGTAGCTAAAGAGATTTAGCAGTGGTGTTACGGTGCAGAGGATACATAATTGGAGTTATAGCTCTTCAAAATGGAGTGCACATCAACCTTTCATCTGGGATAATGAAGAAATACACCCTAGGTGCAAGAGTACCCTAGAAATAGACCAGTTTTACAAAAACCCGGCCTTAAAGAAACTCAATCCCTGATTGGATTAAGGGGACCTGTGCTTACTCTAATTGCCTGCCAAAGCTAAAGGACTCCTCTGCAGAGAAAGATAACAACAACAGAACATCCGCAAATTTTCTTACACAGTGTCCAGTACTCAATTATAATAAAAAACTTACCAGGCATACCAATGGATAGAATCAAGATGAAAAAAAAGACACAACCCAGAAAATAGAAATCCCCAGGTAATTCATATATCCAGTTACTTGTGAGCAATATTTAAGAAAATAGAAACCTGGAATCTATAAAAAAGGAATCAAATGGAAAAATCTAGAACTAAACATATACTAAATGAAATTGAGAATACAACAGATGGGTATAGTAGCAGGTTAGAAGTAGCTGATGAGAGAATTAATAATCCAAAAGAAGACAAACCAGTAAAACTATCCAGGCTAAAGCAAGAAGAAAGAAAAGGTAGAAAATGAAGAAAAGTATTTGAGTCATAAGAAACATGGGTAAAGGGTCTACTATACATGAAATTGGAGTCCCAGAAGTCAGGGGGAGAGAAAATGGGGGCAGAAGCAATATTTTATAAGATAAAAATAATGGTGAGTTTTCTCAGAGTGAAGAATGATTTTTTTTTTTTTTTAAGACTGAGTCTCACTTTGTTCCCTGGGCTAGAGTGAGTGCCATGACATCAGCCTAGCTCACAGCAACCTCAAACTCCTGGGCTCAAGGGATCCTCCTACCTCAGCCTCCCAAGTAGCTGGGACTACAGGTGCTTGCCACCAGGCCCAGCTAATTTTTTTTATTTCTGATTTTAGTTGCCTGGATAATTTTTGTCCTATTTTTAATAGAGATGGGAGTCTTGGTCTTGCACAGGCTGGTCTCGAACTCCTGACCTCAAGTGATTCTTCCACTTTGGCCTCCCAGAGAACAAAAGAGGTTGAGTCACAAATTTAAGAATTAATACAAACTCCATGCAGGACAAAAACAAAACTAACCCAAACCTAAGCACATCATAGTAAAACTGCTCAAATACAAAGACAAAGAAAAAAGTCTGAAGCACAACTTTTTAACACATTTATTACATGAAATTCTAAAGGGAATTCTTCAGGAATAAAGAATATGAACCCTGGCAAAATCATGGAAATGAAGAAAGCAGTAACAGGAACAAAAAGGGTTAATATATGGGAACAAACGCTGAGTGAATAGAATAGCTGTGATGTCATACCAGTTTTAAAAAGACACATAGAAAATACAAAAAATAACACAAATGACAACAGAGGTAAATGAAGTAAAAATGTTCTAAAGTTTTTGCATTTTCTAAGAAGTATAAATAATAATTTGTTTTAGACTAACAATTTGCTAAGGAAATGTAATCACTAAAATAATTTAAAAGAATGGATAACTAAAACACTTATATAGGCGACTGAGGAGTTAATTAATTCTTAGTCCAAAACAAGACAAGAATAGCAAGAACCTGGAATGTAGAACAAATGGGACAACAGAAAGCAAATTGTAAGAGAATAGATGTAAACCCAAATACATTTGAGTTACGTTATATGTAAAAGGACTACTCTAATTAAAAGACAAAGATTGACTAGATAAAAACAAAGTTTTATATGTTGCATACAGGCAATACACCTGAAATATAAAGTAACAAAAAGTTTGAAAGCAATAGGATGGAAAAGATATATCCAAAAATAAAGATAATCAAAAGAAAACTGGCAGAGCTATACTAATATCAGATGAAGTAGATTTTAAGGCAAGAATCATGACTAGATATAAAATGTGACATTAATAGTGATTAACGAATCAATATAAAATATAATATTTGTATGCAGCTAATAACCCAAAAAAGGTAGAAAATGGAAACAGAATAATGATTGAAGAGGTTAGAGATGTAATTTAAAATACCATTTAAAAAGGCCCCAAAATGAGAGATTTAACCCTAAGTTCCATATAACCTTTCATAAATATACAATTCCTACTTAAATAGTTCAAAACCTTATGGAAATAATAGAAACCCCTAAAAATAATTTAATAAAGCTGGAAAAAGAAATCTTGTCATAATAATAAACCAACCAACTTTCTCATCCATCTTTGATATTCCAGGAATGCAAGGGCAGTTTCATATTTGGAAATTTATCAAGAAAACTTAATATATCAATAAAAGGCAAAAACTGTATCAATAGATACTCAAAAGGCTTTAATCATCGGTAGAAGAAAACAAGCTAGAACACCTAAAAAATAAATTCCAGCTAGGCTAAGGATTTAAATTAAAAAAAAAAAAACATGAAAAGCAAACAAACGAAAACCAAACTGAAAACTACAACAGTAACAAACATAGAAACAAACACTAGAAGAAAATTCAGAATGTTTGTGTTGAGCCACTGTCAGTCCTTCATTAGAACTGACTTTTTCTTTTTTATATTTCCCACCTGCTTCCTCCTTGGGGCACACACCTCAAAGACTTCTAGCATAGATCCTATGTAACTTGTTTTTCTGGTATGTTATCTTATCTGCCTTCTCCTACCACTGTGAGAATCCTTGAATGCAGACCTTATTCATCTTAGTATATCCAGTGCCCAGTACACAGTAGATACGCATTAAAAATTTGTTAGCCAAATGGATGAATGACAACCATAGCCATCCCAGCCTGCTTTCGTCCTGTGGTGATAGCCAGGTAGAGCCAGAGGCAGGCTGTCTTTTGGGGAGTAGAAAGAGGAGGGACTTTGGAGTCCAATTGACTCATCATATTGGCTCCTGGTTATAAGCGATGTCACCCTGTGCAGCTTAATTCTTTGCAGCTGATTTTCTTTAAGATGCATTGTACACTACTGAGTCTGCAGTTGGCATTTGTAAACCCTCGCTGCTGGTACTATTAAGAAGCTCAACTGGGGGCTGAGGTTGACAGGTACAACTGACTTCTCTGCCTGGGAGCTGCCCCCGTAGCTTCCATTATCTGGGCTTTCCTGACGGTTAGGTGTGTGACAGAAGATCAATACTGGCAAGAGATGAATGTGTGTAATTAAACTAACAGAAGTGGACTGAAATCCTTTGGTGTGTGGAGTCATAACAGGAGGAAGGGCTTCAGAGGCCCTGGGCAGTCTGAAACGCCTTGTCCATAAGCAAGTTCTGCCACTTTTTCGTGTCTTCACCCTCTCCCCCTGAGTTCCGGTGCCTGGTACCTTTCTCCAGACCCTAGAGGCTTTTTGCTCTCTAGTAACATGGTACGTATCCTCATATTGGCCACAAGTCCAGTGATTATAAAAGGTGAGGTCGCTTGGAAACCTAAGATTTAGAGTAGTGAACTTGAAAGTGAGAAACGGTAAACCAGCACAGTTACTCCTGACTTTGGCTCTAATGGTGTTTATATTCTTACCTGTGCAAAGCAATACCAATTTATGTTGTCAGCCAGGGACATGAATAGATTTTTCTTTCCTGATGTGAATCTGGTAATTACTATGTTGTAACATGTCTTACACCACACGAGACAATAGATTTAGGATGTCAGGTTTCCGTGCAACAAAACAGAACAAGTCTTTTGTAGAAAGCATGAACTATCATTTCAAAATATGTTCCCACTTACCTACTGAGATGGTCCAAACAGCAATTATTTTCAGGAACGCCTTCGTTCTGGAGTTGAAGCGGCTGTGGTGGATGGGATTCTGGATGGCAACGTAGCGGTCCAGGGAGATGGCACACAGGTGCATGATGGAGGCCGTGGAGAAGAGCACATCCAGGTAAATCCAGACCGCACAGAGCTTGCTAGGCAGAGGCCACCGGTACCCTGCGATGCAGAAGGATGGCATCAGTAAGTAGCCTTGTGCCTCCTGGGGCATGTAGACTATGCCCTGTGATAGCAGTTTCCATCTCTGGGACAGGCACAGGTGGTGGTGGCAAAGGGTGACACATGATATTTTTCACATTTGAAGAAAAGCTTAATAGCAAATACACTTTACTATAAGATTGCATTGACTGCTGGACACAAAGTCTGAAAATTTCTAGTGTCTGGAATTACATCAGTGTGGTGTAGTGAACTTGGAGTGTCTCTCTTTGGGGATTTTCTCTCTCCCCCTACCTCTTAGCAAAACCGTTTTAAAAAAATGATTTATGTCAGAAGTTGTGATGTGTTTTGGGCCATTGGAGCACCTCTCACATTGTCCTGTCATGATTTATTCACGTGTCTTTCTCCAGATGGTAGGCCCCTAAGGATGGTCCCATCTCTTAGCTATTATTACAGCCATCCAGTCCCACACAGTGACGGCAATCAATGATATTAGTGCACATGACTAGGTGATTAAGAATACAGGTTGGTACTATATTTGTAAAAATGGAAAATAATTAACTAATAATGTTTTGGGGGTCAAACTCAAATTTGGGGTGTATGTGGGAAAATTGAAGACAATGGTGAAGAACAGGGTGTGTGTCCTTGTTTTGAGCTTTGTTTCAGGGTGATAGTTCTTAAACTTTAGCGAGTATCAGAATCTCCCAGATGGGTTCTTAAAACACACACAGCTGGACCCACCGCCGAAGGTCCCAGTGCAGTTAGGCTGGGAGGCCACAGGATGCTCCTGCCGCTGTTCCAGGGACCACACTTTGAGAACCACGGCTTAAGGTAGCGGTTTTCACCCCTGGCTGCACATTAGAATCAGCTGGAGAGCTTTAGAGATGGCCCAGGCCAAGCCAGCCCAATTAAACTATCATCTCTGGAGGTGGGGGAGGGGGCAGAGGTAGTCTTCTCACCTCCAAATATTTTTAAATCTCCCAGACCATTCCAATATAAGAAGCACTGGAGGTCATTCGCTGTATTAGGAAGACTGTGCCTTATGGACATAAGGGCCCTGTTTTTGTTTGTTTTGGAGGGGACCAAATGGTTACATAAACATTAATTAGTTTTGCTAACAGGATTAGCAGTGGTGTTAGACCTGCCTGCATGTGAAAAAGGGAAATTATAAAGGCCATTTTTCCTATTTATAGATCCACAAAGCTGAATAAACTGTCCATACACAAACGTACCACTCTCCACCCAAATGCCACGAGAGCTACTTGGACAAGTGAAGGGTGCAGGACACAAGCCTACTTTAGAGACTTTCACTCGCATTGTTTGCAAAGAGCTAGAGCTGAAACGAAAGCTTTTTCTTTAGCAGCGCCCGAGGGGGGAAGCCAAGCTCCGCCTGCTCGGAACTGATGCGGGCACTCGGAGGGGTTTTCTCTGCAAAGGAGGCAGCCGGGGCCTTCGTCCGGGTTTCCGCGGCGGGGATAAGCAGAGGGCACTTCGTTGTGGGGGAGGGGGGGAGGCGGGAGCACCAGCCCAGCGAGGGGCAGGCAGGACTACTCCGGCGGGAACGGGCGGCCGCCGCCAGGGGGCGCGCGTGCGGGTGGCGCCGCGGTCCCCCGCCCTCCTGCAGCGGTTCCTGCTCAGTCACCCCCGCCATCTCCCGCCCGAGTTCGCCCCCAGGGCGGGGTGGAAGGGTTAGGAAGCGGGAACCTCCCCAGATGTCTGGGAAATGACAGGAGAATGTAATGAAATCATTCCGGCGTGGCATTTAAATGGTCAAGCGAGGGCTGGACTTGGAATGGTCATTACCAGCCCTGTGCCAACGGGCCAGCGCACTGCCTTCCTCCTTCACACTCTTCAGGGCTGGGTCGGGTTTTTTTTTTTTTTTTTTTTTTTAATTTTAGCCTCTAACACTTGGACAGAAAAATCTCTTAAAGATAGCTCTCATAACCTGTCTCCAAGCTCTTGGTGACTGCTCATGTGCCTTTGTCAGCAGTCTCAATATCCTCTCTCTTTTAAGGAGAAATCTGGCTGTGTTACTCATAATTTGGAAAGAATATCACATTCTGCTCCCCGCCGGAGCCGTCCCAGTGTTTGCTGACTTGCTGAGAGGTTTGACTGTTTCAAACTCTGTTGAGAAGAAAGCAAGATTAATCTCTTCCCGTTTGTTTCCCACCCTCCTCCAAACCAGTCTGGAGGAGTTTGATGCATATGCATTTTTAAAGAGTTGAGGGTATAATTCAAAGGCACATTTCCAAATTAGCTTCTCTGGGCAGGGAACAATTAAAACTGGAGTAATTCATTTATTCTAATGGAGGCTCTGCATATTTTAACATTAAACCCTGCATCACTAATGTTCTCCCTGCAAATGTTCCAAGGTAATTGGGAAGGTTTTACCACTCCATTAGAAGTGCTGAAAACTGTGTGACAAAGACAAAAAAAAAAAAAAAAAACCAAAAAACTGTCTGTCCTGAAGGCTGGAATATTTGGTTGGGAATATAATAAAGGAATACAAATCCAGTGGATTCAGAACGACCGGTAAGTTATTGCTTTATGACTGTTTTGGTATTGGGGTCTTTAGAATGTCATACATTAAAAAAAAGTACATGTTTTAACACACAGACTCTCCAGTGGTCCCAGGTAATAGGTTGCCTGATTTTTGTGTGAAATCCCATTTTAAGAGTAAAATTTAAGTTAACTAGCATATGACAACAGACTCCAGCCTATAAACAAAGCCTTCTATTGACAGTTTGTCCCCTGAACCCCATCTCATCTGCTGATGACATGCACATGCTCTTTATTACCAGTATGGGTGCAGCTGGGAGGCTAATGCCACTCACCATACAGGATGGTTAGCATGGACACGGGCATGACAAGGAAACCCAGCAGCATATCAGCTATGGCAAGTGACATCAGGAAATAGTTGGTGGCGTTCTGCAGCTTTTTCTCTAGGGACACTGCCATGATGACGAGTATGTTTCCAGCAATGGTTAGAATAATCACTACAGCTGTCAATAAAGCAGACCAGTTTTTTTCCTGTAGATGAAGTAAGGAGAAACACGGTGGTGAGAGGCACCCTTCACAGGAGAGGTTGGTTCGATTTTCGGAGTCTACTGTCCAGTTAAATGCATCAGAAGTGTTAGCTTCTCCGGGGTTAAAGTCATTATTGTAGAGTCTGCTGTCATCACTTAATTGCATTAAGGAGTTGGTGGTGGAGCTCAGAGAAGCATTTTCTTCACAGAGCATATCCATTTCTAAGCCAGAACTTGTAGCAGATGAGGTGTAGAAAGACTCCCAAGTTACAGCCTCTGCTCACCATTCACCTTTACGTCCCCACGCTCTGTAAGACTGAGGGTGCTGTACGTGCCGGGCTCCTCTGGCTGCCTTTTTGCCTCCCATTATTAGAATGAGAGTTAAAGAACTGCGATGGCTCTTTATGTTTCCTTCCTTTGTAATTTTAGGAGAGTCCACTGTTTGGTTTTATTTTTTTTTCCACCAAAGCAAGGGCAAAAAAGCAGAATGAACTTTTAGCATAGAGGTTGCAGAGTTTTGAGCTTTCGGGGAGACAAATGTGGTCCTGGCCAAAGAAGAAAAGTTTTGTAACTACCGGGAATCTCATTTTAGCTATATCTCATTCTGTTGGCTATGTCGATCACACTAGCTCAGCCACAGCAATATTAAAATAGCATGCAATCCAAAACAGTGGGGAATGTATGCATTCTACATTAAGGAAGTCAATTAAAAATACACCCAGCGTTAATCCCATAGCAATTGGATGTACTTCGGGTTACAGTTCTCAGTCAGTCTTAGGCTGAACTGCCACAGCTGCTGTCGGGAATTTTAGCTCATATTCTGTTGCTTAGTTAACAAAAGGGGGGGAAAAAAAAAGTCTTAAGTAAAGATTAGCAGACAACTTTCCACACCAGAAATTCTCATTGAAACGATTACATTTTGGCCAAGCATGATTTCAACCCGGAAAGAAAATTACACAGCAATATAAAATATAGCAGCATGAGAACTTACATTTGTCTTCGGGGTGCACACATGAGGTACCCTTGTTATTCTGTGGCCCGTTGCATCTCTCGTAGTAATGAAGGCGGTGTAGAGTCCCCTCTCCTTGAGCTCCCACCAGCATAATAGGATAGTAATTTGCTTTCTGTTTTGCTGACTTCAAAAACTGCATGCAAGAGTCGAGCCAGCTCCAGCACTGCGAGAGGTTCTTGCTGGCTTCCTCGGGCACTGCTCAGCTAGCTGGGTTCCTCCCTCCCTGCGCGGCTCGCCTCAGCAGGGGCACGTTTAGAAATCATTCAGGAGCCTCTCAAAGTCACACAAAAGAACCGCACCAAGAGGCTCCTGGTTTCCACGGGAATCGAGTAGCTCTCTGGCTGCCTGGTTCGCTTCATCAGACCTCCCTCTATCTGTGTGTCATAAACTGCAAGGTAGCAACAGCCAGGAAGGGCGGACCAAATAGGCTTTTTTCCCCCCCTTTTCGCTACATGTTAACACTGAGAAGTTTTCCTTTGCTTTCAAGAGAGACCAACTGGAGAAATGGCTTTTTGCGCAGATTCCTGAGAAGGCAGGTAAGCCGTACTGTGGGAATTTTTTTAGGCTGAAGGGTGAAGACTGAAGAGAGAACATAAATAAGGCTAGAAAACAGTGTGTCCTGGGAGTGCCGTGAGCACACAGCCTTGCCATGCAAAGCCAGCAGCGTGAGCGCCCAGAGTGGAATTACTGACAGCGGCCACACGGGCTCAGCGTGGCCAAGCAAATGCGGTGATAACTCTGGTAAACTGTCTGTACTGTTGTCATTTATTAGATACATACACCGTTCAACTAGCTAATCCTCTTCAGCAGAAATATGCCCCCCGGGTGTAATTCAAAACCTCACGTGTGGTAAAGAGGAAGTTGGTTTTGCAAAGCAACTTTTTTTTTTTTTCCTGTAAAAGTAATGACAACCTGCCTTGTAAAGGAAACCCTTTCCCAAGTAGGTTTCTAAAAAAGATGGATATATCTATTTTTCCAGATAAGACAATGGATTCTTTCCTGAATAGTTGGGGTTTTCTAGGTTTCTTTTCATCACTATTTCCTCTTCTTTAGACTCTCCCTAGACAGAGCCCGCCACTCTCATGCCTTCAGACGTGTTGTCTGTGGCTGATCTGTACCTTCGTAGCGGATTATTGTCCTTAGTTCCAGACCTAAATATCCGGCTGCCCACTGGCTCCTTCTCTTGTCTCCTAGGAGACCTTGACCACAGCACTTTCCCTCATTCTCCGTTCCCCAGCTCCCCGTGCCTGTCCCACTCGTCCTCTTAGTCAGTGGAATTGCTGTCTCTTTAGACAGCCGGCTGTTACCCACGACTCTTCCTTCTTTCTCGCCGCCACATCTCTCTGTGTACATGGTCCTCACATCCTAACATCTCCTCTCTTCCAGCCCAGCGCTGGTAGGAAGGCAGCTGAGAGCACAGGTTCTCAAGTCTCAGTTACTTGGTTGGGGATCCGGCTCATAAACTGTAGGACCTTGAACCAACTGGTTGCTCCCTTTAAAGCTCAGTCTTCTCATTTGGAAAATGGGATAATAGCAGTACCTTCCTCATCAGATTGCAGCGAAGCTAAAATGCGACCACGTATGTGAATATTTAGCCCCTGTCTGTCTTCTTATAGGATACTCTCAAGAATTGTTAGCCGTTTTCATTCTTTCTGATATTGTTAAATAACAAAAGTTGACATCACTCCCCTGAAGTCTCTTCCTTGTGGGGCACACGACTCATTTCTTAGTCTGCCTGTCCCCCGCCGCCCCACTTTTCAGGCCTGGACTCTGGTTGCTCTCCCACAGGCAGCCCACGTGCAGGCTGAACTTGTGTGTTCCGACCATTTTTCTGTCTTTGCACTTGCACTTCCCTGTGTCTGGAGGGTTCTCACCACTCTTTTTTTTTTTTCCCCCTTTGGTGTCCATCTGGTGAATTCCTACTTAGTTTTCAAGGCTCAGTTCCAAAGTTCTCTCCCCTGAATCCCAGGCCCACCACTCACCACCTGCGAGACCTCGATTAAGCTTAATTCCTCCATGTTTTAGTTTCCTCGTCTGTATCTAGGGAATATTAATAATACTGACTTCAGAGGATTGATTTGAAAGCTGAATATTAATAATACATTTATATATGTGCCGGGCACTTTTTAAGCACTCAATAAAGGTTAGTTGCTATTATTTTTATTATTATTAATAATATTAAGTTCACTGTTACTAAGCTTTCTGTGGCACTACTTCCCAGTGGAGGCAGAGACTAGCATCTTTGGTAGTCTTCCCTTTTAGCGCTCATCACATTGCATATAGGCCCCATATATGCATAGAACTGTGTCTTTGTTGTTCACATAGTTGGTGCTTAGATGTGTTTGTTAAGTGAATATGTGACTGATTTATAATTACTTGTGTACATGTCTGTCTTCTGTATTAGATGGTGAATGTCTTAGTCATCTCTATGCTTTTAATACTAAGCATGGTGTCTCATAATAGAAGGTCCTCAGTAGGTGTGTTTTGATTGAACTGTTAGCATAAATTTAGATAGATTGTGAGCATATATTAAAAAGGAGAATCAAGGAGAAACCTAGCATCTCTAACTCTTTTTGATCATTTTGTCCAGTGGGATACTAATTTCATTTTTTTTAAAGAGGACAAAGGGCAATGTGATTTAAACAAGTACTCCAGTGTTGGAAAGTTACTCGGAAGGTTTTTGATGTTAAATTTTGTTTTATGGATTTTCTTTTTATAGTTCTTTCTGGAGAATTCTGATGTTCTCAGACCATTGTTCCTCACGACGAACAGCTTGGCTTCTAGTCGTGCCAAAACTAGTCAGTGGGTTTCTTGATATGTGGTTTGCACTGTGAAATAAATTTTTTGGTAACTATCTAAGAATATTTTTGCAGTTTTGATTGCAGTTTTATGAATACTTAGTTTGGGCAAAGCAATATGGGCACAATGTAAGCCCTTGGCTACTGAGTTTTAAAAAGAGTTTATTCATAGCGTGAGAGTTGGATCAGGTAGGAATGTTTTCTTGCAGGCCAGACGGCCCTTTCGAGTTTGGTGAAATGGGTGTGTATTGGCTGCCGCAGTGGACACTATGATATGCTGCCTGCTTCCCTTCAGGACTGAGGCACTCAGTCCCCCACTGCTGGAAGTGCTGGAGGCTGACATCTCTCAGCTGATGCTTCTGGTGAAAATTACCTTCAGCCAAAGAAGCCAGTTTGCCCATGGTCACACCCCTTCCCTGGGGCAGCCAGCTTGCAATGACTGCTCTGTTATGAGGATATAAAGACGTGGCCTCTTTGCCTCAGGCTGGATAAGCCTTTTGGACCACCCTGGTTCCAGAGCTCCCCATAGGAGCTGCCAAGGCCTTTGTTGTGACTGCTTCACAGCTAAACGCCTCCCCCTGCCCAGTCCTGCTTCTGTTGCCACCCTGTAGCTGTGGATCTGATAGCTTTCCCCAGTAAATCTCCTACGCACAAGTCTGTCTCGGAGTCAGCTTCCTGGAGAACCCAACCTAAGACCTATATTTTTAAACTTGCGTTTCAATGCCTCGATACTACCTCTGGATGAGTTGGATGTCTTATAGGGAATAGAAGTGTTGTGTATATGTTGATGATGAAGGCTTCCTTGCCATAAACTTGGAGTTCATCAGTAGACAGCTGGCTTTGCTGTCTAACTACTGACAGAATGAATTTAAGATCAACAACTCCAAAACTAAATGTATTATTTTGGACAGAATTCCTCCAGGACTTAATTGGGCCTTATATAGGAGCACATTTTACAACTAGTTTATTCTGGAAGGTTCACTGGAAAGTGATTGCTTAAAATTAGATGTTAGGTTTTTTGTTTGTTTGTTTGTTTGTTTTTAGTGACTGGTATGATATCTGTAGCCTTTGCTTGAATTTTTTTTTTTTTTTTTTTTTTTTTTTTTTTTTTTTTTTTTTGAGACAGAGTCTCACTTTGTTGCCCGGGCTAGAGTGAGTGCCGTGGCGTCAGCCTAGCTCACAGCAACCTCAAACTCCTGGGCTCCAGTGATCCTTCTGCCTCAGCCTCCCGGGTAGCTGGGACTACAGGCATGCGCCACCATGCCCGGCTAATTTTTTTTTTATATATATATATCAGTTGGCCAATTAATTTCTTTCTATTTATAGTAGAGACGGGGTCTCGCTCAGGCTGGTTTTGAACTCCTGACCTTGAGCAATCCGCCCGCCTCGGCCTCCCAAGAGCTAGGATTACAGGCGTGAGCCACAGCGCCCGGCCTGCTTGAATTTTTTTCCAGGCTGAAGTTATTGGGTTTATGAAACATTTAGTACCTTATAGATGTTAATATATGTGAGGAAAAAAGTTCCTTGAGCAATTAAATCTGGAACATACTGCATCTTATAGGCTTCTCTTATAAATATACAGTGCACATTAGAATATTAAAGTCTGTGAGAGATCTTGCAGTAAAGAAATGTGTTTATATTTGTCTCCCTACTCCCCCTCATCTAGAACACTCATGTAGGACACTTTTATTTGCTTAAATTGAGTTTTTACGTTCATTAAAATATAAAGATCTTAAGTATATAGTTCAATGAATTTTGACAACTATATACATCTATGTAACCATCACCCAAATCAAGATACCTCTCATTCTATCATTTCTGAAAGTTTCTTCTTGCCCTTTTTTGACCTTTACTTAAACGAAAACATCTAGTATATACTTGTTTTATGTCTGGCTTCTCTTACTCATTGATATGTCTGCGAGATTCATTTACTGCTGTGATTAGACTATTTTTTTATAGAATGTAGTTTGAGAAGCTACAAAAATCACCTGGACATTTGAAGAATCAACACATTCTTTTTCTTGTTCAAAGGAACATAGACTAGATCTTGTTATGTCTGTCCTTTTTAAGCTTCTAAATTTTTCAAGACAGTGCCAACTTTATCCTCCACTCAGCTGATTATATCTGATTCTGTTCTGAATTGGCAGCATAGAATTCTTTTACTCTATGACTGTTAAGAATATGTCCCAAAGATTTCTGCTACCCAAATCTGATTAATAGTCTGAGAATGAGAAAATATATTTACGAAGGATTTCCTAAATGGCATATAATCCATCACTTCCTTTAGATGCTTCAATTCTCAGGTTTGAAACAAGCCAGACCACCTGACCACTGTATACCTGGAAAACCATGTCTTGAATTGCCTTCTGTTATGCCATTGGCTTGTGTCAGAAGAAACAACTGCTTGAAATTAGCTAATGAGTGTCATCTATCTAAGTTTCTCACAGTGGTGTTTAGTTGAACAGGGTTCATTACTTTAACAGATAGGTGAGTGCTGTGCCGAGCACTGTTTAGGTGCTGAGCATACCCAGGAAGATGGACAAAGGACCTGCCTTAATTCGTTCACTCAAGAAATAGTTGGTAGTAGCATAGGTAAGTATAGGGTTTAGGGAACAGATATAAACTAATCAATTGCATTTGAAGTGTGAAACTGGGTGGGGTCAGCTAAGAGAGTGGGTGGAGATAGAGAAGGGAGGCGGTCTGAGGACTGAGCCATGGATTACTGCAGTGTTTTCGGT